TCTGCCTATCTGCAGGCAATAATGCGTCCCAGATCTCCATGTCAACAGACCAGACCCAGGGGCAGTGCCTCCACGGGCAGATGGGCCCCGTGGCTAAGCCCAGGCTCTAGAAGGTGTGGCGATCCCGCCCTCAGAGTGGAGGCCAAAGCAGGTGAACCTGCTCTAAGCACACAAAGATGACAAGCTAAAACCTGGTTTGTGCCTTGATCAATGCAGTGTCCCTCCGAGCACCTGGCCTAATGAAGGAAATGACAGGCTGATTGCCAGGAATAAGAAATGACCACAGCAAAGACAAAATGCAGACACTCTATCTACAAGCAAACAAGTCTGGCTAATTAGTTTAAGATGAGTCAGGAGGCCAGGGAAATGGGAGGATTTTTAAATTAGCTACAGATAAAAATCAAGAATTTAAGAAGTACGCTCAACTCCTCTTGCTCCATGAGATCTGAGCAGTTAATTCTGGCCTTGAATAACTTTCAGAGCCAATATTAAGGGGTGATTTAGCAAATGGCCGGTGGGATTGTGAGCACACTGTTGAAAGCCCTCCCCACGGCCCCACATGGTGCCCTCTTTATGAACAGCCTCAGGAGAGACGTCTTTCTGCTCACATCCCACAGCTTCTCATGAAATACTGTTTGGCTCCCATCACGGCTTTCAGAACTGCTCAGATTTCCTTTTGCTTTAGCTTCAAAGCAGCTCAGAATCAAAATTCTGGCCCATAGTAGCAACTGCACAGCATCTCACAGAATGTATGTGATGAGCTGACTTTATTCCCTGGCTTCAACTGAACCTTATTTCATCATGACCTTTCCCTCTTCACTTCCTAATTCATTTTCTTTTTGTCCTATTGCATTGTAACTCTTTCTGCAAAGCTTCAGATGCTTGTAGGAAACAAAGGAGGGAAATTATTCTCAAACTTTTAAAGATCACATGGGATTTTTAAAAACCACTGATACATGGCTCCCACCCCCTAGACATTCTGGGGTGTAATTTAGGTGCCAAGAGCTTTTAAAGCTCCCCGGGTGATTCTGATAGGCATCAACATTTGATATGAGTAGATGCATAATTCCCTCATCACCTTGGCTCACTCTTCTCAACCAACCTTATTCTCTCTAACCATAAACACCCCTGACCACCCATCTACCCCCATTCTCAAATTCTCATTTTCTCTCATGCCCGTCCAAAACTCCCTTCTATGCCTCAGGTCCAAGCTTAAACTCGGCATGTGCCACAAAGTCTCCCCTGACTGTTCCAGTTCACGCTGATCTCTCTTTGTCTAGTGCACTTAGGAGATTTAGAGAGATGGGCCTCTGTCCCGCTGGAGGGAAATGTACCCCTCCCTCACTGCTTCTGCATGTGTAGAATGGTTTGATATTGTGAAACCACAGTTCTGCAACACAAAGGGAGCGAACACCTGGTGGAGTCAGAAAAGGCACGGAAAGGGTTTCACGTGTGGATGGCCCATCAGCTCAGGCATGTCAATCACCAGTGCCCTCAGGGAAGCTATAAACTCTGTGTCCTACTCAGGCCAAAATAAGAGAAGAGGCAAAGGAAGACTGCTGCTCTCAACTGAAATCTGAGGGAAGCTTGATCAGCCTGGACATGAGCTCAGAACAAAGGATGGGGAGACTGGACTTCACTGTGGGGAAGTGAGAGGGTGTCACTTACAGACCTCCAGGGGCTGAGGGGTGACAAGTGCTGCCTGCCAGGCCAGCCCATGCAGGACAGCTAGACACTCAGGGGAGAAGGTTCTGGGCACTTAAAACAAGAAGCCCCTCACCTGGGGCCTCATGCCAAAGAAAGTAAGGATCGAGAATCTCACCAGTCGGGAGGCACCCCTATCTACCTTGAGCCTGATCAGAGTAGCAGGACCTAGTATCCAACCCAGAAAAGACTGAGTGCAAAGATCCCCAATGAAAGAACTGGAGAAAGTGCTACTGAATCACAAGAAGGAAAAAAATATACAGCTGCCCTCAAGAGTTTATTTAAAATAAATAGTTTGCTCACATGCCTCTATTGACTAAATACTGTGGGAAACTTCTTTGAACCTTTGCAGCTCGGCTATGCCTCACATTCCCCCCTCATCCCCACTTCCACCTACTTGCTCTAGTGAATCACACAACACTGAAAGGGCCTCTGTAAGTCCAAGTGCAGCAGCTCACACCTGTAATCTTAGCACTTTGAGAAGCTGAGCCAGGATGACGGCTTGAGCCCTCGAGTTCAAGACCAGCCTGAGCAACAAAGTGAGACCTTGTCTCTACAGAAAAATCTGAAAAATAGCCAGGCATAATGGCATGCATCTGCTCCTCACGGATGCTAAGGCAGGAGGATTACTGGAGCTCAGGAGTTCGAGGCTGCAGTGGGCTCTGATTACCACCACGGCTCTCCAGCCCAGGCAACAGAACAAGACCCTGTCTCCCATTCCCAAAAGTCTCTGCACTTGTTTGCAGAGAGAGCAAGGAAGAAGGGAGCCAGTCCCAGAAAAAAGAAAACATAAGAGACAGTGTGGCTGGACACAGTGGCTCACGCCTGTAATCCCAGCACTTTCGGAGGCTGAGGTGGGTGGATCACAAGGTCAGGAGTTCAAGACCAGCCTGGCCAATATGGTGAAACCCCGTCTCTACTAAAAATATAAAAATTAGCCATGCGTGGTGGTAGGCGCCTGTAGTACCAGCTACTCAGGAGGCTGAGACAGGAGGATCGCTTGAACTCGGGAGGCAGAGGTTGCAGTGAGCTGAGATTGCACCACTGCACTCCAGCCTGGGTGACAGAGTGAGACCCTGTTTCAAAAAAAAAAAAAAGACAGCATAGGTAGTGGTCACTGCATGAGGAGAGGAAGTCAGACTGAATCCTGGGGGCATCAGAGGAGCTGGCCTCAGTCAGAAAACCCTGGGAAGTCCCTCAGGGGCTCCCCCTAATTATGTTCAACTCTAAAGTAATGAGACTAATTTTTTTTTAAAGCATCCAACATCTGGGGAGAGGGGTGAGGACCACAGTTAGTGCACAGACTGGAATCACGCTGCCTGGATTCAAACCCTGGCTCCACTTACTTTGTAGCTGTGTGAACTTGGGAAAGGCACTTGAACTCTGCGCCTCTGTTTCCTTGCCTGTAAAGGGGATAATTCTAGTACCCACTTCATTGTTTGTTTGTGACGGCTAAATGAGGTCATCCCCCCAGCATGGTGCCGGCCACACAGTGAGAGCGCCTGTTTGCTATCACTATCATTGCATCACATATTGAAATAAGTTCTGTACTTTTACACAGTGTTCAGAGACCACAAACTTCTTCCAAGAAAGCACTAGTGGACTCCTTCGAGAACTGCCTTCAGAGCCTGTGACACAACCTTTCGACTTTTTTCAAAAGTGACTGATCTATGGCCTTTGAGAGTAGGTTTAATGTTTAAAAACTTAAAATTAGGGCCGGGTGCGGTGGCTCAAGCCTGTAATCCCAGCACTTTGGGAGGCCGAGGCGGGTGGATCACGAGGTCAAGAGATCGAGACCATCCTGGTCAACATGGTGAAACCCCGTCT